AGGAGAGAATCTTGACCACAATTTACATTCCCAAACACACACAAAAGGACAATGGAGAAAGGAATCACTTGAACAATATACTAGCAACATGCACGGCTACTAGCATGAAATGGGATCAAAATCCCCTAACATATACACACTTAATCACACGGCCTTGAGCATGAAAGGAGTTCCGCCCTAGCTTGAAAGGTGCACGGCATTTAGCAATGCTAATGGTGATAAATTACTATTAATCACAAATTAAGGCTTAATCATATAATTAAGCATAACACTTAATTACCAAAATTATTTCGAACGTAAACGGTACGTCGAAAATATTTTCCGGAAAATTTTGACTGAAATAACTGAAAATAGTTAATTCCGAAAAATAATATCGGAACTAAAATATATCTTATACTGATAAATAGTCGGGATAATACACATGACATGTTTACTGAAAATATCCTCGCTATGACCACCACCACATCATCGTCTCACGCTCTATTCTCGACACCGTCACCTGAAAAATGATTAGTGGGGGGCGTGAGCATAAATAATCCACGTGCTCTGCCGGAACCGACGTTGAAATATACAGCTAATATAATAACATATCATGACATCGGCATATATGCAAGTACTGAATGGGTCGGTAGAAAACGATATGATGATGAACATTTTACTAACAGATTAGGCATTCATCCCATAAACACTTAAATCGGCAACTATCTATAGCTACTACTTAGCTGACTGCCTATAACCGTTGTTCAGTTGACTGTCTATAATTTCTGCTCGATTGGATAACTATAACTGGTGCTCAACTGACTACGATAATGGGTGCTTGACTGGCTGACTATAATTGCTGACTAACTATAATGACTGCTCAATTGACTAACTATAACGGTTGCTCAACTGACTAACTATAATGACTGCTCAACTGACTAACTATAATTGCAACATCGCGAACTAAACATACTTCTGATATGATAAGCACATCACAACCTAAGCATACATCTAATATGATAAAACACATCACAAACTAAGCATACAACTAGTATAGAACACATCATAAATTAAGCATACAACTAGTATGATAAAACACGTCACAACCTAAGTATACATCTATAAGATAAAACATATCACAAAGGCGTATAATTAAGTATACCGTCTATAACGGCTTCTCAATATGTTATCTATAATTTCTGCTCAACTGACTGCTTAACTGGCGAGAAGGATACTTGGTGTTCACGCTCGCGATAAGCAACTGTAGGACCTAATTTGTAGGTCGTTGCCCATACTAGGGCGAAACTAACTCTTATGCACTTCTAAGGTTGGAGCTTAACTCACAACTGCACTAGAGTCCTTGATACTAACTGGGGGTTCAAAACACTTGGTTATGATGAAACATATCTCTAGATCAAAGTTCCTTAGGGAAGAATTATTCTAAGATCAACTGAAATTAAACTTAACTCAAAGCTGTTCTAGGGTTCTGAATTCACTTAACTCAAAGCTGCACTAGAATTCTTATTTCAACTTAACTAGCGTTCGATTCACCTAGCTAGAAAGGATCTACTCGCTAGGTAATTGCCCCTATTCAGGCAGAATCTTACATACATACCTCAACCATGGTATTGCAATTATAGAAGATGTAATACCCAGTATAGGGTCCCCACCTGATATGCTGAAATGCAAGATCTGAATGGTTTGCAGCAGTCGGAGGCTCGACTCTTTACAAGCTACAAAATATATAAGCACAAAATATATTCTAAGTACTTATCTTAAACTGAAAACTCGAATTATATTATCTGAGCTGTCTAGGTTGGCTTTAAAATCATTTTAGGGATTTACGAGCTGATTTTGAAAATTTATTGTCTTTGAGGCATACTAGAGTTCTCTGAAATATTTCTAAGTTTGGAATTACGATATGACTTGATATAATCTGACTGAAATTTTAAATTTGATTAAATATGAAATATGTCTGGATCTTAAATATATCTGAAATCTTAACTATATCTGGAATATTAATCTGACTGGATCTAAAATTTATCTGAAATTCTATCTGAAATATATCTCGAACCGTCTGTACTGACCGGACCGGTTCGACTGAACTGGACCGACGACTCACTCGGAGTCGGTCGATCATTCCCTTGACTATGTGCAGCTCGGTTTGACCGTGGTCCGAGTTCGGCGTGACAACTCGGGCCGACACGAACTCGACTAACACGACTTCACCGATGCACGGTTTGAAACGGTGCCACGGTCACTGACGTAGGGGAGACGATACGCGTTAAGAAAAATATGCTACGATGTCTAAAAGTATTTAAACGGTGCTAGGGTTAGATCCATAAAACTCGGATAAAAAAATTACCCGGTTATCAGAACCGGATAAATCTAGCGTTCTCAGATTCTCAAAAATTCTAACTCATTTTAAGCGGATATTTAGATCAATAATTTCTATGTGATTTATACCAATTTTATAATCTACAACTGCAGCTAAAATCATGTCCGACTAATATTCTAAAATATCGTGAAATGAGACTAACGTCTCGATTTTTAACCTATATTAAATGGTGTCTGAAAATTATGAAATCCGAAACACACCATCCTCAACATATACACTATAAATGGTCAAATTATCGCAACTCAATTCAACTCCTAACACATTCAACTAGTAATCGCTTCAACTGGTCGAATCATTCAAAAATCCCATTCGTCTATCCAACGAACTCCAAAATTTCTCAAATTCGCATCTAAGACTCAAGACATTATATTATGATTTATCGAGTTAGTTTCATAATTTTTGGGTCAACTCACTATTTATTACGAATTTATTGCCATTTTTTCTCGATAAAATCATATATATTCATATATTGCTCAAAAAATCCCGAACTCATTTTTATAATTAACTAAAATAGATGTCTAATTCCATGGAGTAAAGATTCAGCTGATATACCTTCTGAGGGGTTCGCAACGAAAGTCGAAACTCGGGAAAAGGTCAGGGAAAATGCCCGGGTGATGTGAATCGAACCCAGGGCTGCTCAAATAGGTCAGTTCTTAGCAGCGGGTCGGGACCACTGAACTGGTCTGTTCGAGGCTGAATTGCTCGGACCCGGACTGATTCGGGATGGGTCTGGAGTGATTGGACCGAGTTTGGTGCTGTCGGTCGCGAGTTTGGTCAAGAAGGGCCAGAATCGAGCTCACCGGCGCGAGGACTAGATGCGAACGAGAAGCTGGACTCATGAATAGAAGGTAATGAGCTGCTCGCCGGAAACTAGGGGTTGTGCTTCGCCATGGCTAGTCGTGAATCGCCGGAGGTCGGCACAAACTCGCTGGAAAATGGTTGAGCGGGCTCATTGGAACTGAAGCTGTGGGTCGGAGCTGCAGTAGGCTTCGCCGACGTTCGGAGCTTGCCGTGAAGGGGCTGGACAGACCCGACTACGAGCAGGATGAGGACGGTGGTTCGAACCAACTGGGACCGAAGCTGGTGGTGCGTGGCTCGAGGACGTCGGAGCTGGAACAGGAAAGCGCGGACAGAGGTGGTCGACACTTGAGTTGGGGTCACCGGAAATGGAGGCAGCAGCGGAAGGGCTGGACTGGTTCGCCGAACTGTGGGGTCGCCGGGAAGAGAGCTGATGCGGGACGCCGGGAAGGGAGCTGTTGCAGGGTCGCCGGGAAGAGAGCTGCGCTTTTTCGGCGAGGACGGGCGTGGTCGCGAGCTCGCCGTGAAGGGAATGGCGGCAGTTAGGAGCTGTGACTGTGGGGAGCTCACCGGAGAGGTGCAGCGCAGTTGGGGTTGAGCTCGCCGGTGTGAGGGTCACCGGAGCTTGGACAACGGTAGCTCGTCGGAGCTGCGCGGTGGCTGGCCGGATTTTGAATAGAGGAGGTGATGTTGGGGAGATGGGAGATGATGATGTATTTATACCAATGAGGGGAGGTGGGTTTTTGGTTCTTGTTGGGCTCAAACTTTGGGCTTCAATGAAATTGACTTGGGCTAGAAATAAAATTGCTACTCGGGCTTTTAAAATCCTAACATTGGGCTAGTAAATTCAATTCAACTTGGGCTTGATTAAGTCGAATATCGACTAGAGAATTAAATGCTCGGAACTTAGACTAAATTAATCTAGTCGATCCAAATTAGTAAAATAATTGAGCTCGATACACTGAAATGAAATGGGCCAAATAAAATTGAATATAAGCTCGATTAACTCAAACGGGGTGCTAAAATAATTGAATTCACTCAAAGTGGATTGGGCTCGAATAAATAAATTATTCCGCTTCGATTAGCTTTAATAAAGCTCGATTAATCCAAGGCTCCGTTTTTAAAATACAACCGATACTTGGGCTAAATAAATCTCACTTTAACAATTAAAAATCGAATAAAGTCTCCATGGCTTAGATTTTAATACTAATTACTCAATTTAATGCAAATAAATATAATAAATGCCTCAAAATTAGGAAGCTGGCTATTTATGGAAATAAAGTTGGAGCTCCATAAATAGTAACTAATATTCTAGGCGTTACAGGCGGTGGTCCCGCGGTGGTGCACGGTGATCGGCAGGTGGACGCTCTTGGTGGTCGGCTTTAACGTGAGGGTTGCTGGTGGTGATGATCGAGAGAGAGGGATTGCGGTCGAGGTGATGAACGAGCGCGAGATGGAGAGCGAGATATTGGTATTCGATAAGAGATGGGAGCGAGAGTGTTTACGTGTCTACGGGTAAGAATTTGAGAGAGAGAGAGAGAGAGAGAGGTTGATCTTGTATGTATATATACACAATACTAGGGTTGGCTTCTTGCCAATCAAGAAATCACAATAGGGCCGGTTTATGGGCGGGCGCGGGTGGAAGAGCTGAAGGTGCGGGTTCGCTACATTGCAAACGGGCGCACGGGCCAGATTCTCACGATTGGACTTTGCCAAGTAACAATGGCTCGATTCAACTTAATTAAACGAGGCTCGGTTCAAACGAACGATAAAAATAAACCGGGAATAATTATATATATTACACATAATATATATATATATATATATATATATA